TAGCCTCAAGGCCCGCCTTGTCCTGCTCCACCCGCGCATAGTTCTTCACGGTGCATTTTTGGGCAAAGTCGTAGCACTCCTTGCTTGGCTGCTTCTTGAAGAAGTCATCGGCATCGTCATACTTCCACATGGACTCCGGACACACGCCCATCCTCAACTGTAGCTGAGGTTCACTTGACACAGTCGCTCGTCATGTTCTTGACGAAATGCTTGCTAACTCATAGGTAGATCAAACGTGCAGCATCTATCCGCATCTTTATTTTCCAAGGTTGACATGAAACTTGAAGCTAGGAAACCGGTACTAGGAGACAGGGCATCTTCTGTCACCTTAAATCTACTTGATTCAGGCTGAAGCCATCTGCCATGAGCATTTAAGGCCCAAGTGTTGGGGCCCCCAAAAGCAGCAACTGTGGAGAGTTTTCACCAAAAAGCAGGAGCAAACCAGGCCATAAACTGGCGACGAACCAACATCAAATTCCTGATGCATGGCATGTCATGCATTTTTTGTAACAAGGAAATAGAAATCCAAGTTTCTTTGCCATGACCTTGACCCCATCACGCAACATCGCGCCAGCATCTTGGTCCACACTGCCCTCCACATACCTGTGCCATGGGGTTGTGTTGTGCTGAGTTCATCCACTTTTTGCACTGTCAATGACATGGGGGAAAGCAACGCTACACAGTGAAAACATAATGAACCCAGAAAGAGGCTGTCGCTGTCACACCACTCATGAGATCCTTCATTACATTCATTCCTCTAAATCTCATGTCACTTCCCCTGCTTGGTCAATGATTTTAACTCTGATCATGCCATTGGTCGCTTACGACGGATGCCTTTCATTGTAGTAGATGAAGAGGCGGCTCGGTGTGAAGTCCTTCAAGTCCGCGTGGTTCTCCACATTCTCTTTATGCAGGGTAAAGTGGAAAGAGGCCGCCAAAGCATTCGCCGTGCAGCTGCCCAAATGTCCTGACGCAATCATTAGCCAACACGATTAATCGAAACGCACGATGATTGAGTATCCCCCCCAATACCTAATGGGAGAGTGTTTAATATTATATATATAGTCAATAGAGTCATCTGGTGATTGGACTGCTCATCGCATGCGAAGACTTCTTCCGACGCTTGATCTCCATCGTGTGGGGGCTCTCCTTGGTTGAAGATCTTGAAACCTCCGTTGAGAGGCCTCAAATCCACGATCTCCTTCTTGCCTTCAGCCTTCTTCTTGATGTCCTGCATCTCAAAGAAAGGGCTCGGATCACGGGTTGTCATGGGTGGTTTTCCACGTGTCAACAGGAGTGGATGACAGGTGCAAATCAACACCAACACTGGGCATTTCTCATATTTTCTCATGAGGCTCAACACTCTCCAAGAGCCTCTCAGATACCTTCAAGCCATTCGCTACGGCGGCTATACCAGGTCTTCTCCTTGGGTGCATCGATGGTCTTGAAGGTCACGTAGTGGTCACGGTGATCAGGAAGGTCAGGAATCCAGCCCATCTTCTTCGTGGTGGTCAAGGCCAAGCTCTGCATGCTGGGATGCCTACTGCTGGCTAAAGGCACTCAAGCTTCAGAAGCCTGAATCTTTCCAGAACCATGGATCTCAAATGATCTGGAGTACAAGCATCAATGGACGTCAAGCATGAAAGTCTTATAGAAAGAAAAACACCAAGTCGGTTCCTGGGTAGTAAATTGATCGCGACACCTAGTCTCCACAAATCTTGTTCAAGATCTCCAACATTTCTTCAAAAGCAGCTCTTTCAGAAGCAACTGCTACATTCCAGCCCTTCTCTGTTCGCTCTCTCCCTCCGTGGAGAGCAAATCGCCCACTCCCAAGGCACCCTGGGTTTGGACCACCGCTTTCTCACCCCGTCCAAGCCTGGCAGTGTCCACCTGGATCTCATTCGCAGTGCTGGCCTTGCTCTCGCACTGACCCATGATGTGGCGTTCCTGCAAACTGCTAAAAGCGGACTGAATGCTTTTTTTGCCTTATCCTTCCCAGAAGATCCAGTTAGCACGATAGTAGGTCACCGGTGGTTCCAAAGACTTAAAGCGTAGACCTACAAAACCCTGCTGCCTTATATAGTGGTAACTGGGGTCTGCCACCAACGGGGGAGGGAGAATCACTTGAACAAGAGAGGAACAAATACCTCAAGCCCGCAGCAAAGACCTCAAGTGAACAGAATTCTCTACCCAAAGATGTTTCAACGCAGCTGTGATGTCTTGGCTTCGTCGGCTTCGTTAAACCCCGCCTGGTGTGTCTGACGAACTGACTGAAGCTAGATGTTGTTGAGCCAAAACCACGCTACGCACGACGCAGCATGACGGCTGGCCACAAACAGTGATTCATGTCTCGCGCTGGATGTGATGTATATAACTTGACAAGTGGAGAAAAGTAGGTCGAACAACTCAAACAGTGACAAAGCAACAAGCATGGAAACAAACATGCAGCCATGCAGCGGTGTCAGTGCAAAGTGTATGTCTTGACGCTGGACATTTGAGTGTTGAAGTCCTGGCCCCCCTGCCGACTGACAGCTAGGCATCCGACTGCCACATGGCCACTCCGATCGTGAAGCTCTTTAGCGCTCTCAAGGCGACACATGATCTCGCAAACATATCAAAGATATCAAAGGCAAATCAGCTTGCCTCTAATCAAAGGAAAGTTTCACGGCTGTTGCCCGAACCACCTTTGGCTTTGAACTGTTTTGCGGCACGCCCTCCAACCCCTTCTGGGGAAATGAAGGAAGTGCCACAAAATCGCTG